AGATCCCAAGTCTTGCAGCTGGCATATATAATGATTATGACCTTGGGGAAACCTCTGTTGACTTAAACAGTGAATAGGCACAAGTGTCTGTTTAGCCGGGGTTAAATCCTGTCTGCTTTGTAGTGCTACTTCAAACAAACCTGTGAGGGAAGATTTGCCCTGGCTGCTGCCTTAACAAGAGATAACAAATAAACTGAACCTGATGGATGTGGTAACTTTGAGCGCTGTTGTGAGTCTGACACACATCGAGGCGTCTGTCACACAAGCAGGTTAGAACTGATGAGGTGTTAACTCCGTGGGAGGACTGTTAGTCTTGTGACAGCGAGCCTTCTTTCAGAGTCAAACCTGCCACAAGATTGCATTCATTGGCGGCAGGCAGGTTCATGAGACTACCTCTAGGCCTGTTGTTTTGGCAAGTCTTGCTTTTCTCTTTTGTACCTTTTGATGCTTTTTTTCAGTCTAACATTTTTAGGATGCAAAATTTATATTAAGCCAAGACTGTCTGCTGGATCTTTCCCCCAATCATTTTGTGCTTTATGATTTAAACCATTTGAAACTGTTGTTACTGGTGCTTGTTTATAACACCTCTTTTTTTCTTTTTCCCCCAACAAGGATAAGAGTCAACCCAAAAGTAAATGTGGACACACTTGAGATAGCATCTGGTCCTAAAAACCGTGACATTTTTGCACGTATTTTTGTGCTTAGGAATTTCCAATATTAAGTTTCGTTTGCCAAGTTCTGTGAGAACAGTAGCAGTTCAAAGTTGCTATGCTGTAGTGTTACAAATTTTAGTCTTCTGGTGCTACAAGCAGGAAGACAGAACAGCCTCTTTCTTTTAAAAACAGTCAGAGTAGAAATGATTAAACTTATTTTTCCTCAAGCTGCAGCTACTCATAGCTTATAATTTAGAGGATCAATTCAGTTGCCCAGATGACTGCCCCAACACTCTGAGGTATCAGGCAAGACTGCCTGAACTGGCAGATAGGGCAGAGGACCTGCAGAGAGACCCGTGACTCTCTGGAGCAAAAACCTGGGGGGTCTCAGGGTATGTCTGTCATTTTTTTCCTTCGGTGCCACTATCTGCTTTGTAGGCTTTTACTGCATCATCACTGGAACTGTTGCTAGGTGATACCTGCTGATTAATGCACTGCACGTGCACATCCACTTTGGTTTTTAAGATGACGGCAAAGTTTGGATCCTACTTAGTATTTAACTCTCTAAATCAGGTATTTCACTTTCAAAAGCTCTGAGCACCTAGCAGTTTCTATGTGGTGCTCTTAAATTACTGGGAAATTCAGTAGTGTAGTCTCACAGCTAAAGATAGCTTTTTAAAAGCCTGCTGTTGGCTACATCTTTCTGACAATCAAGAGTGAAGTATTTTGTGTGCACACACTTGCACGTAAGCTTGGCCACCCACAGTGTTTTCCCTGTATCTCTTATTTACTGGGCTATAAAACTGTTCATACCTTGGCACCAATATATCTGTATTAATTTCTGTCCCTCAGACTGAAAACACCGTGTTAAAGTACCTGAAGCTAATCTAACGGTAGGATACACACATCTGTTGTAGCCCAACAGTTGGAACTAGGTGGGGAGGAAAAAACCAGCAAAAGATGGCTGGAACTAGAGATTGAGTACTTCTAAAAATCATTTAAGGCAAGACTGTTTCTTGTACATTAATTATTCTGGCATATAAACCCAGATTGGTCTTCCTGGCAAGTGCACGAGTAGTTTAAGGATTGCAGGGAAGAACATTTTGAACACAGTAGGACAACATCATAGTTAATCACTGTATGTTGCATCTTGACTCACAGACAGTGAATGTTGGCTTAGACAAAAAGAAAAAAAAAAAGAAACACCTAACCTACTTTTGGTGTGTATGGGACCGTATCTGTAATCTAAGTGATGGATTTTCTTTTCAGAATAATCAATGCATTCCAGCTGGGTTGGAAAACTACTACTCTGAACAAGACTCCAGTGCTCGAGGGAAATTTTACACAGTCATAAACCACTACAATCTGGCCAAACAAACCATCACGCGCTCAGTGTCTCCGTGGATGACAGTACTGTCAGAAGAGAAACTCTCTGAACAGGAGACTGAAGCTGCTGAGAAGTCAGCTTAGTATGATAAGCTAATTATTAACACTATGTCATTTGAAGGTAACTAAGGGACTTTAAGGAACTTTTCATTAAATATAATTACGGATAATTTAGAGGTTACTCATGTTTATGGTGCAATTGCTTCTGTTTGCTGATACTGCTTTGCAAAAAAAAAAAAACAACCAAAACACCAAAACTTGCTGCAAAACATACATGGGCATAAAACAAGGTGCATATCAGCATTGCTTTAGAGCTTTGACACCATTTTCAATGTTAAAAAAGAATCCAATGTTAGGTATGTTCTTGCCATTTATTGGATACTGACAGATTTCTTCACTGGATTTTCAGGGCTTGGACCTTAGATAAATCATGTGTTCTGTTGTCTGAACTGACACTTTATTTATTAATCTTTTATTCTTTGACATTTTGCAAACGGAAACACCTCAGCCATAACTAGAGTGATCTCTTGTTCAGCTGAAAGCTGTATTTAATACTGAGTTTTGGCTCAAGCAAGAACGATAGTCAGCATTGATGTCAAGGGCATAATGTAATGACTTGTATGGAGAAAGAAACTGTCAGGTAGCATTTTTCTTACATTTTCTTTACTGTTGTTTATTTGTAAGTGATAATGAAGTTCTCTGCAACAAGGCATGCTCAATGTTTTATTACTGCTGTCAACAGGATTTAACTGCATTTCCACTGTGGCTTTAGCATCTTGGTAAGGATAGCACTGAAACACAAACTAGATAGACATTATGGAAAAACACAGACAGTTTTAATAATGGATGTTGAGGATAGTGTAAAAAATACAGTTCAGGATGTTCTAATGAGAAACATCATCTTTTGATCATACTTAAGAGGCAGAAAGCTTATTCACAGTAGATGTAGTCCACTATGTAATTTGTTGGATACAACAGAGGGAGTAATATGTCTAAATTTTCTCTTGTATTACATTAACATTTTCCCTTTTTATTAATTAGAAAGAGCTTTCATCAGTTTATGTATGGTTTGCAGTTTGATACTTTTTAAAACACAGAGCATCACAAGTGAAAAAATAGCATATTAGATAACACAACTGGCTGTTTTAAAGCTACATGTGGAACTGAGTGAAGAGTAGAACTGTTTATGTATGGCTTGGGAGGGGAAAAGATGTAGAAGAACATAGTATTGTGGATGCACGTTAGAGTTCCATTGTAATTACAAACTTATCCTTTGTGTGAAACCATGTTTTCATTTTTATTATAAATCTTAAATATATATATTACAAAAAAAAGACATTAATTTAACAGACAAAATAAGTGTGAAGCATCTGGACAAGCAAGTCACCTTTTTTGTTCATGTAACTTGAATAGGACAAGTTGTAGTGGACATGTCAAAAGTTCCTTTTTTGTTTTTTTTGGTAGAGACCATACAAAAATGAAGGGAAAACACCAGCATGGGCTGTTTCTCAAGATCTGTAGTAGAGCAAATGTGGTCAGCTCTACTTTTATTTTTTCTCTAATAGAATTGTTTTATCAACAATACAGTAAAAATAACCATTACTACTTAATTCTCTAGGTTTGATACGAAGTGTGCATTACACAGTAATATCTGCAAAAGGCTTTTTAGTAAGTCATTATGGTATGTGGAATGCATAAAAAGCAATAAATTATGTGCCAAATTTTTCTTTGCATTTAAAATTTTCAAGCTTTATGTTAAGATACTGAAAACATACCATGTTTGCATTTTCTAATAGTGTATGCTTTATTGAATGTAATTAATTCACATGTAACTTTTGACATTTTCACTCTGTGCAGAGTAGAGAATAAGGATGATGCTGCTTGTTGCATGTAATGTATAGAAATATACATTTCAGAAGAGAGATAGCAAAACACACATTTCATATGAATATTTACAGAGGACATTCAGATTTTAGAAGATGGAAAGATCTGTTCCCCAAGGCTGTCCTACATAGAAATGATTCATGATACATCTCCTCCCCTTAAATTTAGGACAATAAAAACTAATGCACAAGTAAATACTGACGAGAAACAACTTATTTCTCTCTCTCATAACAATAAACGTTAAAAAATACTAAGCTTTACGATCTAGGAGAAACAGATTACTTATGCTTCTTGAAGTCAAAACTATTTTTTCCTCCGATTTAACAGCAGGGAGTTTATTGATTCTTATTTACAGCTGGTTTTGAGACTTGTTTTTTAGTTAACAAATTGCTCCCCATTTTAGTATTTTGAAGAGTTTGGCTTTAATATTGTCTATCCTTTGGCTTTGTTCCAACATTCCAGAACATCTGTTTCACTGCACAATCTGTTTGTGTTGTATTCTCTCTTTTCACCTAGAAGTAGAGCTCTTTAGTTGACTTTTTGTCATTATTATTACTATTAAATCAACCTGATCTCTGACTGGAGTAGTTTCAGAGGATTAGAAGTAGGTCATACATGTGCAAAATGATCACTATGTACTGACGTGGTATGATTAAATAAAAGCCTGAGACAGTGTAGATGCTTTTGCACAGTAACAGTTTTCTCTTGATCGGGTCTGCACACTGGCAGCTGGACTTCCACATCACACGTGTGGGTGACTACGATAAAACCATTATCGTTTTTTTCCTTCTGTTAGCTGTGCTCCAGCTTGTAGCTTTCTTACCAGCCCTTTCAAAGGTTTCTACATTCTTTGCAGGATTAAGTGTGGTTTTATGTTTGATAGAGGGATTTAAAATAAATGCTATCAGCTCCCTCTGCACTAAGGAATTCTATACACATGCTTATTCATCGGAAAATATTTGCATCATAGCAGTATGAAAAATGCATAAAATATACAGGTATGCCATACACCCCACTCCATTGAAAAAATGTCAGAAGTTTTACAAACAAAGCATGTAGACAATATTATATTTTTAATTAATTATCATACCAGTCCAGGAAAAGCAAGGAAAATGAACACATCACAAGGAAGAATAGGATCCATACTCGAAATCCAGCATTGTTTTTGATTGCCTGTGAGGAAAAGGTTATTTCCATTACCCTCACCAGTAAACATACAGTAGAATCTTCAATAATGGCAACCCAAGAGGACTATTAGTGGCTTCACTCTTCCCTCCCACAAGAGAAAGAACAAAACTTGCCATTAATTTCAGGTGAATAGAGGTCAGGTTGGCTATATCTCTTTAGATTTAGCACACTAAAGTTTCTCTTCAATCTTAAAATTGGTCATTTAAAAAAAAAGAAAAAAAACACCACCCCAGAAAATTGCAAGATCCCACACAGTGGAAGTATACCCCAAACATTAAGAACTACATCAAAACGTATATGCTTAAAGGCTAGTTTTAAGTTCCAAAAGTGAAATTTTGTGATTAGAAATAATGAGGCCTTCATCATTCTAATAAACATCTTCTGACTAAAAAAAAAAAAAAAAAACCAAACCAAAAACCACCAACACAAAAAACCCACATCAAAACCTGACAACTCTTTCTGGAGGTTGATTTAGCACCGTTAGTCATGTGTTTCAGTCTCAGAACAAGTAGAGCAAGGAGGAAGTATTGCAAGTATTTTTCTTGGATTCTCCTTCCCAAAATTGAGACCGGCATATGGCAGGGGACCTGTTTTTCTCTCTCATTTTTCAGATTCACACATAGAATAGATTTTTTTAATGTGATACAAACATCAATGTGAGTGACGAAGTTTTTATCACTTTTTTCTACTGTTTCTCAGTGTGGTTTAGGAAACTTAGTTCTACCTACAAATGTGAAAAATGAAGCAAAAATAACTTCAGTTCCTGCCATGTGGTTGAACACTGATCTCTTAACTATGAACGCTGGGACAATCAGCTGACATCTCTGAACCCTCCCCCAGCATCCTATCTAAGGTGCTTTAGAATCATGATTTAAAGGCATAGTAACTGTTTGCTAAATATTAGTAAATCTATTGATTTAAGTCTTTAAAAAACCCAAATGTCTTCCCCACCATGTGCCATACCACCACGCCTATTGGACAGCTACTGAAAAGCATACTCCAGATACTCCACTCTCTTGAACAAATGTGGAAATAAGTTCCAAGTCAGAAGTTTTAAATTCCAGAGTTACGCTTGCTAATGTACATTTGATGCACTTTTCAGGAGAGCTGAGCAGTAGATAACTCATCCTTGAGTTACATATTCTGTGTGCTTTCATGAGGGGGGTGGGGGGGGAGGAGAGAAAAAAACCAAAAAAGAAACTGAGCCATTTACTCAGTGACCTAATTTAGGAACTCTGTTTTTATTGAAATCTCAATTCCTGAAAGAAAACATTTCATTCTAATTAGTAAGACAGTGGGATAGATTTGTTTACTAGGAGCATGTGAGATGCGTTCAGCATGGTAAAGAGACTCCTGCTAACGCTTAGCATTCAACTCCAGTTTCAACAATTTCAGCACTGTCTTTTCTTAGTCTGCAATTTCCCCCCCCCCCTTTTTTAAATGCATGCCAGGTGACCTTCGTGTTTAAATAATAGCTGAGGCCAAGCAGATTTCTGCAGACCTGTACAGCCATTCAAATCATGGTGAGCAAGACAAGCAACGCGGCCTGTTAAGAACCTGAGCTAACTTGTACAATTCTTCCAAAATCATGTCCTGACACCCCAACACACACTGCACCTGTACCATGGGTGAGCTTGTACATGGTGTTTAAAGCAACACTTGGGCAAAACTGAAAGTTAAGAGAAACAGTGAGTTTAAAACACAACTTGGAGACATTACCTCTCTTATGTCTTCGTTGCCTTCTTTGATATTCTCTGTTGCACCCACGACTAATTGATGGATATTGTCAATATCAGTTTCCTGTTAAAAAAAATAAAATTGAGAAACAGTGATGTATTTTAGGGAAAAAAAAAACACTTCTAAGGATTTGGGGAACAAGCAGAACTCAAGTATAAAATAAAATCTGGTATTATTAACATCTTAGTTTCAATGATGCAAACGTATAGAGGCAATTAAGTTGTAATGTCTTTACCTGTGATTTTACAAGCCTGCATGGAGACGACCAAGATCAATAGGAAGTCTCCCATTTATCTAGAATCAAATCTAACCTGTCTAGTTTTTGCCAGCTCTTTTGGAAGAGGTGCCACCATTTACAGAAAAGATGCTATTAAATAACACATTTAACAGGACACCAATTCTGAGACAGAGGGATCATCCTAACACATATGTTGCATTTTCCATTCCCAGTACATACTAGTAAGTAACAACAGTAAATATCTCAATTTTGCATTTGAAAAACACAAAAATCTTTTCCTTCACATTCATCATCTTTTCCTTCCCTTCATCGTCAAAGATTCATTAATCTTATGTTTACATCTTGCACGCAACCAAGACCAAAATACCCCAACAAAACCTTCAAGCTGTATTTGCTGCTGTAGTATTTAATTATACTAACCTGTTGCAAGACTTTTTCAGTGAATATCTCTTGTAATCTGGAGATTTCCACCACTTTTCCTTCAATTTGTCTTGGCAAAGAACAGAAATACTCCATTAGAAACTGGTGCAGACATTTCTTGCTCCTGCAGGTTCAGATTCCCCAAGCCGGTAAGCGGGCTATTCAAAAGGCACGGCTGCTCGGTCAGCTGTCTGTTATGCAGCAACAGGCTGCGATCAGTGCTCTGACAATTCACGGTGGGCGGGCAGCCAGCCCACAGGGAAGCTCTGGGAAAGGCACCTCCCGGAAATTCTCAGGTAGCAGCCTTCACTGCGAGAGCTTCACAGATCTGCCTTCCTTCATCTAACACAACAAAATCCATGGTGGACCCTAAGTAGTTAATTTTGACATACCCTCTCCATATACTACCATGAACTGTGGAATTCACCTTGCCTAGTACGAATGATCCAGAAGTAAAGTTCCAGCTTGAGTTAGCCACACAGGTGTTCTGCACAGCAAGCAGAGAGCAAACGGCACCGCTGCTCTGCCATAAGGACAGGTCTCTGCATGGAGGTCAGTGACTGCACCTCCCCTACTGCCACCTGTATATGCAGCGGACAACGTGATATGAGTGGAAAACTTAAGCGAGATAGAACATAAACCTTCCTAATTTAACCAATACTATTCTGGATAGTTTGTACGTCACTCAGAACCATTCTTTACACTGTGGGACAGCACGATGTGTGAACTCGTACAGCTCGTTTCCTGGGCGCTCCCATTTCCTCCCTCCTACCACACCACTACAATTCACGCAGCCAGGTGTCCTGCAGCAAATACACCGTGTGTGGGTGCTGTCTGGGTGATGGGACCGGCACACAGCAATCTGTCAAGTAACAGAAAATTGTACCTGACTTCATCAAAGAGATTATTCATTTCACCAACGAGTCTCTGGTTCTCCTGTTCGAACTGGAAGGGGGGAAGAAGGAAATCACACACATGAGTTCACATGCTTGGACTCAGGGAGCTTTCTTCAACCCCCACCCCTGATCAACAAACTTCCACCCTTCCTTGCAATCTATTTACAGTATATCTCAACTAAAAAGATCTTCAAGAATTACTAATACTGGCCTAAATGAATAATATGAACCTGCTTATTTGTAACCAGTCACTGTAATACTTGTCTTTTTCCTCCCATTAATGAAACAAACCCCAAAATAACTTGAAGATTTTGCTCAAGTTACTTTGCAGTAAAGAAAAATATAGTGGATGAAATCTGTCCTTTTTTATTATT